CCACAAGGGTCTATTGTAAAAAGAGTATATTTTAAATAAAAAATTAAATTATAATATCGAAATTCTTTCAAAATTCATTACTCCTTGAGAAATGCATATAACATTTCGTATCGAATACATTACTTCTAAAGTTTGAGTTGCAACTACGTTGCAGCTAATTTGCATATTATGATATATGTCATACTTTTTGTATTATTCATAGTTGAATTATAATTTATAAATATGTAAAACAGATTATTTGTTATAATTTTGTGATTTTAGCGTAATTTTTATAATTATTTTTTATTTTATACTATCTTAAAATTCTTGAAATTAGTAAAATTTAAAGATTCGTGGAACTTACGCCCCATGTCTCAGGGCTTGCGCCTCGCCTCGCCAGAGGTAAAACGCCTCGTCACGCCCTCACCTTTTAAAACATTGGTCACAAGTTGCCTCCTGTTAAAAAGTAAAATGACATGTCATTCTCAATGACCTATGTCCTTTTTCATGTATAAGAAATTTTAATATCGAGCTTAATAATAATAGTAAACCAATATGTTTCCGTACAAAAATCTTAACGTGGGGTTTCTATGAGTCACGTGTGGTCATATGCTTATTTTACCTTTTTGACCTTTCATTCATTACACAATGTCAGTATTTTTATAGACAAGTCATTTTTTTTTTTCCAACTACACAAGTGATTATTTGGTTAGACTATAAGGTAAAATGACTCACATTTAAGGTAAAAAGTTTAAAATTGTGATGTTATAAACAAGCCCTTTGTGTCACATCTACTTTAGTTAATATATCTTGGATTTAATTAACCATTTCCACAAGCTTCGTTAAGGGATACAAATACATTAGTTGTTACTTATAAGCGTAACGTAAACATAAATGCGCCTTTCTCAAATCAAAATGATTTGGGCACTCCTATAGTTGATTACACGAACACTTCTGGACTAGAATATAATGGATGGGCAGTACGAATATTCATTCCGTAAAACATCCGCACATCATTCTTGATAAGCTAAAACTCAATGCCTTTGTGATATAATTAGATTAATCAGAGAATGTTCTACAGAACAAAAAATTTTGTTTGCACATCCAATGTTGATTTCCAAAAATTGGACAGAGATTTAGATTTGACTGCGAGTCGACGACTCCAAGGCTTTTCCTTTTCCGACGGATCCTTAAACTTTCGAGCGCAACTTTTCGCTTGTGCTGAATTTCAGGTCTTTCCAATTTCTATTTAGTTTCTTGGAGACCTTTATCGTGTCGTACATGTATCTTCAAGTAATCGAGGAAGAAGCAACTAATCTCCACTTGTAACTATCATTATTTATATATTATCCTCGCAGTTTATCGCGCTCTCTATTTTCGTGCTTTTTGCCCCCTTTATTCTTCTTTTCTTCTTGATCTTGAACTCTTGTTCCCCATCATATGTTTTTAGAATTTAACATTTATGATATGTTTTAGGGACATGATATTGACAAAAGAACTTTGCCAAAATAATATTGAGTCAATTTTTTTTTTGATACCCGTGGTGTTTGGATCAGCTTATGCGTACCTCAACTATTTTCATGGGATATCTGGTAGCTCCCACCAGTAACAAGTACCAGGTAACTCTATCCACCGGACAAAATATCGAGTTCACTTCTGCGGTTAGAAGGATTTTATTCTTCTTTATTACTCTAATTATTTATAGCTTCTTGTGTTTAAAATAAGAGAAAATTATTTGTATTTCTTAGTTGAATAAAAAATCAAATCAAGTTGTGCTTATAAGTCTTGGTATTTGTAATGATCTTAACTTGTAGAGAAAAATGATGAAGAAATCAAAGATAAAACTAAAGACCTTGTCAGGAATAGCCTTCCTCATAGAAAATTTGATTCGACGGTCAAATAAGTATATATGTGAAAGATAAGGAAAAAAGAAAGATAAAGTAAAGACATGTACATGTACTTATCTGGAATGCTTCTTTGATGTGTTTTTCTATCTCTTTCTTTTCTCACAAAATAGACTTCCTTCATGTATTTATAGCTTGAAAAACAACCGTATGTATTTTTTCCTAAGAATAACGTGTCTTTTCCTCAATAGTTTAGTGGAATGTTCTTTTCTCAAATTATATTTGGATGTAAGTGATATTTTCTACTTTGTCTTACTTTTTCCCATATACATCCTTTTGGCATGCTAGTAATTGATCGTATTGATGTGACTTGCTTAAAAGGTTTTATCATGAGAAACTTTTACATGTCTACACTACATTTTATACTTGTTGCCCCTCTTGAAAAGTTATCACTTAATTAAATCAGCAACAACAACAATAATAAATACAGTATAATCTTACAAAAGGGATTTAGAGAAGATAGAGTATACGCAAACCTTACCTAGTAGAGAAATTTTTTCTGATAAACCCCGACTCAAGGAGAAAAAATTAAAAAGAAACGAAAAAAACAAGACTAATACGAAAATATGGGACTGAGAATAAAAACCAAAAACAAAATAAGACGATAGAATAACCAAAGCGAAAAAAACAATATATAGTGAAAGAAATCTGCAAATAAGAAGAACCGAAAATACGAGACTAATACTAATGTTACTGGCATGAAAAAGGGACGCGCGCGCCTACCGGTAAACCTTTTATCCTAATTCTCAAACTCACGGCCTCCTATCAAGGGTCATGTCCTCGGTAAGCTGAAGTTGCACCATGTCGTGCATAATCACTTTTCCCAAATACTTTTTAGCCCTACCTCTACCTCTTCTTATCCCCACCCTGATAAATCTCTCACACCTCCTGACCAAGGCATCTACGCACCTCCTCTTCATATGCATGTACCATCTCAGCCTTTCTTCCAGTATCTTGTCCTCCATGAGGGCCACCCGCCTTGTTCGGAATATCTTCATTCCTAATCATAGCTATCCTGATATGCCTACACGTCTATCTCAGCATCCACATTTCTACTACTTTCATCTTCTAAGTATGGGTGCTCTTGACATGCCAACATTCCTCCCCATAAACATAGTTAGTCTAACCACCACCCTGTAGAACTTACCTTTATGTCTTGGTGGCACATTCTTATCACACAAAATTCCGAATAAGAGTATCCATTCCATTCACCCAACACAATCCGATGCATGACATCCTCGTCAATCTCCCAATTACATTGGATTATTGATCTAAGGTACTTAAAACTTTCTCTCTTAGAGATGACTCGTGAATCAAGTCTCACTTCCACGTTCGCTTTCTGAGTCACGTAGCTGAATTTGCATTACAAGTACTATGTTTTAGTCTTGCTCATCTTGAAACCTTTTGACTCTAGGGTTTGTCTCCAAACCTTCATCCTCGCGTTAACACTGCCCCGTGTCTCATCAGTCACTACTATGTCATCCGCAAATAATATGCACCATGACATCTCTCCTAGAATGTATCATGTCAGAACATCCACCGACAAGGCAAATAATAATGGGCTAAGAATGAATCCCTGATGCAAGTCCATCACGACTTAAAAGTGTTTTGAGTCTCTTCCTACCGTGCTAACCTTGGTTTTATCACCATCATACATATTCTGGATCACCCTAGCGTATGCTACAGGCACCCCTCTAGCCTCCAAAAATCTTCCTCGTTACTATTTACTATTTATGTTTAATTTTTTAGTTACATATAAAATAATGTGTTAAGACTTCATTTCACATTTTCTCTTTTTCTCTGCCCAATAAAAAAATAATTAAATTTCCAATTGTATTTAAGCAAAATGTACCTCGATCGAAATTAGATATCGCAAACAAGAGATATATGAAAGTGAAATTCAATAGTGGCTTGTCAAAAATTACCACCTACACCGAGTTAGCTTGTTTAACATCAACAATCCAAGTGATTGAATTAGTCTGCACCGAAAATAGTTTGTTCTTGCAAGAATTTTGTTTAACCGGTTAAACAAGATAGATCCGAATATTACATGTTTAGTATTCTTTAATATTGACAGCAACACGAAATGTAAGTATTAAAATCAATGAGTTGGGTTGTTGCACATATAAAAAAAACTAGGTTATCTACTATTAAATTTGAGAAGTTATTTCATATCCCGCTTCTTAATTAATATCTAATGATAATTTATAATTTTTATTTAAAAAATTTAAATCTTAAAGTTATTTGCACATAATCCAAATAACTCAAATCACAATTTGACATGGTTTGTATTCGCACATTGCGGGATACTAATAGTACCACTTAAAACCTAAAAATATTATATAATATTTGACTAAAAAATACAATTTAAGTTCGGCGTATCTCCTGATTAGATATTGTCAAACATAATCACTAAGACATGACTATTTTCTTCATTTGGGTGATTGTATTGTGTTAATACTTATCTCTACCAACAGTCAAAACATATGCATTACGACAATCTCTACTAACGGTCAAAACATATACATCACGATAATTTCTACTAATGGTCAAAATATATGCATTACGACAATCTCCGCTAACAGTCAAAAGATATGCATTACGACAATCTCTACCAACGGCCAAAACATATGCATTACGACAATCTCTACTAACGGTAATAAAAATATGTATTACGATAATTTCTACCAACGGTCAAAATTCATGTATTACAACACTCTCCGCTAACACTCAAAAAATATGCATTACGCCAATCTCCACCAACGATCAGAATATGTACATTACGACATTTCACATTAGACTCCTCCTTGTATAAAAATATTGGCCAAAAATCATAAAAACAAACACTAAACAATGTTACTAAATATAACTAAATTGTAATAAAGTATTATCTGAACCATTAAGAACCATTAAATAAATCTTTCCAATAATAAAAATCGTCATCTTAACATACTTTTATTGGGTGTCTTTTAATCTTGGTAGCAAATGAGGATTTTGTGCTTTGAATGTAGCCTTTGCCAAAGTTTCTGAACCCCCTCCCCCCCCCCAACCTCCCCAACCCCCCCCCCCCTCCCTTTATTATATGAAATGGGACCAGCCTAACCATAGTACAACATTTCTTAACGTATACCAAAGGGTTGCTACTTCGGATGTTAATTTTTTCCTACATTTTTTTCTCTCTCTTCTTTGTCCCTCATTTCTCTTTTTTCTCTCTCCTCTTTTTTAACAAGACTGACTTGGCTCTCCGGCATTGACTGGTTCTCAAGCAACTTCACTCCGGTAACTGAACTCAGCTAAAGATCGGTTAGTTTAGCTGTTAAAGATTAAATATTTATCCCAAATTTATTAAATTCATTGCATGTTTAACTGGTCTTTAATTTTATTTTGTTATAACAACCCATAAAAGTAGGTGATCCATTTTCAACTCAAAATCATTTTGGAGATTCTGTGTGAAGATTTTTTGGGTTTCATTCACCTGGGTGCATTTCAATCTTCACCTTTCAGCTGTGAGAATTAAGTTCCCCAAAATTCACAGTGATTTCCCAATTTATATTATTTCTAATTTGTTGCTTTGTTTTTTCTGTTTTCTTCCAATTCACTTGCTTTCTCCTCCTTGTCATTTTGGGTACTTGTTCTATGTGAGATTGCTAATTCGTAAGCAGCATTCCTTTGCTTTTTCATGACTTTCAAATATGGATATGGTGATTGAAGTACTGAGCAGAAACTTAGATAAAAGCAAGAAACTGAAAAATGCAGTCATATACTCCTTTTGAGATTGAGATTCTATATGAACATAGTTCCCATTCCTGTTTTCTTATCGATGATTGTGCCATTTCTTATGGGTTACAATAATTGAACTGCAAACAGCAATTGTTGGTTTTCCCTTTGGTACATAAATAGTTGGATTAAAAGGATTAAAGAGATAAATAAAAGTAATTCCTGTAGGCTGTAGGGCAAAATTGACGACTTGAATTAGTGAAGTGCATACAACTGCAGTACTAAGAAATTGTATGTTTAAATTCACTTCTATGCAAGAACAATTGTTATGCATAAGTTTATATTCGTATATAATGTGTTTCAATTTTATTTTATTTTCTAAATACACATTGAAAATTGATACTTGTTAATTGGTCCAGTTATTGTTGCATGATGATTTGAGGTTAGATTTGGAAACTGCCTTTTTATGTCTATTATTTTCTCTAAACTTTGAGATTTATAGGAATTTCCTGTATTTAGATGTGATGAAATTTCTTATGCTTTAATGTCAAAGAACAGTTTTTTATTCATGTTCTTCTACCACTTAAGTAGAAAGCTGTTTTGATTGAAATTTTCATTTGTGGGTTTTACAGTGAAGTCTCATCTGTGAGTCAAAACGAAGTCAGTTTCTAACAGTTGAAAGTCTTCCCAAGGGATGATTAGACACTGAGAGAAGAATACACTTACATTTGAGGATGAATCTGGGGAGATTTTCAACTCCCCAAGGGAATAGAATTATCCAAAATGGGGATCCTTGGGTTCCTGCTACTCCACAAAAGCCAGTTTTGCAAAGTCCCGATCTTATTCCAGCTGAAATGCAAGGAAATCTGATGGAAAGGTCAGATTGGCAGGATCTGCTTGGGATTTATGGTAACTTTTTACAAAAACCTGCTCATGGTACAGGAGCAGTTCAGAATCCAATCAACCCAGTGAATTTGAATAAGGATTATATTGGTCAGTGGAATAATGCAGCAGTCGACTACAGAAGCTCTGATATAGATATCAACCGCTGTGAAAATGTGCCAGGTCACGGTAGGCCTGCTTGCACTAGAGTTAATTCATTAGCAGAATTGCTGGGGATGAAGAACCAGTCATATATGCCCTCCACCAGTGGAAGATCAAGCAATAGTATCCACCTCAATGATTTACCAACCTTTCAGAATTCATATTCTCAAGTCGAAAGCAGATATGAGCAACTTCAGGCAGGTCCGAATTTTCTGAAGGAGAGTCAAGTGTTTATTCCAAATCAGACGTTTGATTGTTACAGCAACCAGCGACTACCACTTGGTGAGCTAACCATTTATGAGGTCTTTCTAACTTGTGTTGGCAGAAAAAGATAATACAGGAAAGACAGGAAAATTTTAGATAAACCAAACAAAAATGTTATTTTTCCAGTAACAACAAACCTCCATTGCACTATAAGAGAACCGATTGGAACTATGTATAGCAATAGTGCTAGAAAGACCTCATAACTACCAGGTATAATACATTAACATAAAATTGTTCTTCGATTCCATATACTAGGGATTCTCTGATATCAGATAAGCCATTCCCAATATTAAAAATTAGTTAGATAAGCATGTTGATGGCAAGTTAGCCAAGTAAAAGCTTAGAAAATATCCATTTGACAGGTATATATCATGATATTTTATTCTGAATCACTAGTTTATATCCTATTTCTTTTCCTTACAGATGGAATTCTAGGCCCATATCGGGTCAATAAATCCATGTACTCATCCTTGACACCAGATGCTGGTACAGGTTCAAGCAGAAGTAGTTTCTTCCCAATTGCACCAGTAACACCAGAACAAAAGCAATTCAAGGATGACCAGCTTTTTGAGAGACAGAATTTCTCAATAGAAGAAAGCTCTAGTCTTGAGAAAGATAAGCAGGAGAATGTTCTGGGGTCTATGCAATGCAAAGATAACCACTCTGATAAACAGTTACAGAGAGTCGCAGATTCATTGGTTGCAACATCATTGAGTGAAAAGATCGATGATGAGAACAAAGGTAATGGAGACATTGACCTGAACAAGACACCACAGCTGAAACCTCCCAAAAGGCGAAAACACCGGCCGAAGGTAGTAATAGAAGGGAAAACCAAAAGAACTCCGAAGCCTGCTGCCCCAAGAAATAGTACTCCAAATGAGAATCCATCAGGAAAAAGGAAGTATGTCCGTCGAAAGGGCCTCGAAGATTCAACAGCTGAACAAACTGAAGTTGTTGAGCCTGCTGCTCCAAGAAATAGTCTTCCAAATGAGAACACATCAGGAAAAAGGAAGTATGTTCGTAAAAAGGGCCTAAAAGCTTCAACAACTCAACAAACCGAAGTTGGTGACAAGGACAGAGCTCCTGATGCTGGAGACACAGCAAAATCATGTCGGAGAATGCTAAATTTTGAAGACAGAACAAAAGATGAAAGCCTGGCCAGTACCAATATCAGCCAAGCAGAAAAACATCAGCAAAGAAAGGAGTCTTTTGATTTGAACTTGAGTTCTCAAGATATGGAGTCACCTTTGGCTATCATGGAGGCTTCTGCAATACCACCTGGGCAGAATCAGCAGAATGGAGAAATTGCAGAGAAAAGGCGAACAGAAACTGCACCTTATGTAATCAGTTCCTCCATTGAAAAGCCAAAAGATTTGGCATTGCCACTTCCTTCAGCAAATCAAGTTACAACGAAGAACCAGGCACTGAATGCCATTGCAAGAAGTCTAAGCATGCGAAACGTTAATCAGCACCAAAACAGCATTCAGCTTGGGTGTGATCAAGTGCCAGTTCATGGAGCTGGAATAGGCCACTTTGTCTTTGAGGCAAAAGATACTAGACCCAAGAGAGACGAAGCAAGGCAGCTGGCACTGGAAAGGACACCTCTGCTTTTGGGAGACACAGCTTCTGCACACGAAAAAAGAGGATCCAAGAGAGATCAGTGCCACATCTCCGAGTTTCAACCTAAAACTTTTAGCCAGATGGGATCGGTCTGCTCAGACATGTTAGGGATTGACAATATTAGAAGAAATTGCAGCACATTTGGTTTAGGAGATTCAGAGATTCACAAAAAAACAAAGTTAGATTCTGAAATATATGGCACTGTATCCGGTATACCTTCCAGTACTACAGCTTCAATGCATGGCTCAGTAAAGTTCCAGTCAACTAGCTTGAACATAAACAGATATGTTGGATTCCCAGGTAGCGGAGCCAATGGTGAGGGCAGTAGGCGTTGCGCTAGTCCCATGATTGATAAACATAACTTTCAAAAGCAACCAACCCCATCTCAATCCCATTCTTATACACAATCAATATCTCAGAAAATATCCCAACAATTGACTGAAAGACATGGACCCCAAGCGCAGGCCAGTAGTAACTGGAATCTTCAGTCTCAACCCCAAGCTCTCTCTATGTTTGTACAAGAGATCAGGAAGAGAATTTCTCGCAATAACATGCTAGCACGGATGCAGAACATGGGGCAGACATCATCCAATGAACTATTCAATAAGGGGGAGATGCTTACAAGAGACAACAAGAAATTACGAGGTGACGAACATCTCCCAACAAAAGCTAGAGGTATCCTTTTGCAGCTATTCCATCACTCTTGCTTTTATTGTTTACTTTTTTTCTTTCCAGCAAATGTAGTGCCAGTCTTCAACAAAGTATGAAGAATCTTAGATTCCAATAACAACTACAACCTTCCTATGTCTCACACAGGCTTACAAGGAACACGCAGATATGCAGCGGCAGTCGATATGATCACACACCGATTGGAACGCCTTGCTATCAGTGACAGCAAGAAATATACTGCTCAAGAGGAGCAAAAGGCCCTTGTTCCATACAAGGGAGATGGCACTATTATCCCATATGAGAGATTTGATCCAATAAAAAGACGTAAGCCACGGCCCAAAGTGGACCTTGACCCAGAGACCAACAGACTTTGGAACCTCTTAATGGGGAAGGAAGGAGGTGCAGAGACAACGGACAAGGACAACGAAAAATGGTGGGAAGATGAAAGAAAAGTCGTCCGTGGACGGGTAGACTCTTTTGTCGCACGAATGCGCCTTGTTCAAGGTACAAAAAATCCATATATCATTCATTCTTCAATTTAGAAGTCAACTGATTCTGAAATGATCCTCTGGTCCCACCATTTACTTGTGTCAATGAGATAGCCAAAGGCAAAGCCTGAACAAAATATCAAAGCATGAGCTGCAAAACAAAATAGGTATTCTAACACAATTGGATCCAAGGAAAAAAAAAACTGTTTTTTTAATTTGCTCTGCGAGACTCTTAGAATAAAACAACTCTAGGGTCATGTACAAAGAGGAGCTGCATATTTGAATGTGGTGGCACCCTGTCCTACAGTGTAAAATTTCCAAAAACAGCACATAAGTTTGTTTGTTAGAGTTAGACATAGTGAATACAAAAAGTAACCTAAAAAAGGTGAAACATGCTGAGCCACGAAGTTCAGCCATGATTATCAACAAGAGAGAAACTAAATTGTATATCGCCAAGTCTGGCATAATTGATGCATGAAAAGTCTGTAAAACTGATAATTTGCTAATCATTTAATAATGATAATAAAAGAGATAACCATCGGAATTGTAGAGAAACTAAAGGCAGTTGAAGAAGTTTCGCGGTAGACGTACTAATTGGGATTCATTTCCATGACCACACCTATATATCTTGTATTACTAGAAGTAATGTTACCATGATGATATCAATTCCAACTACACAAATAATTTGAAAAAACATTGCAGGAGACAGGAGGTTCTCACCTTGGAAAGGATCTGTAGTCGACTCAGTGATCGGAGTGTTCCTCACACAGAATGTTTCAGATCATCTCTCAAGGTAATTCTTGATGGTTGGAAACCATCAAATGGACATAGTTAATAATTGAAATTGATAACTTAAAAGTTTACTTTATTTTCTTGCAGCTCCGCTTTCATGTGCCTTGCAGCCAAGTTTCCCTTGCAGCCGACAAGCACCAAGAACACCCTCTCCCAGAATGGGTGTAACACAGTAGTGGAGGAACCAGAAGTCGAAATAATAGATCCAGATGGGACTATCACATATCATCAAGCTAGACTACAGGTGCCTACACGTCATCAAGGCTCCATAACATGCAGTGAATCATCTGAGCACAGAATGGAAGATCGCATTCAAACAACTGGAGCTTATTTAGTAAGTGAGCATGAAAAGAGAACAGACGAGGAAGTCATTTTATCACAAAACTCTCCTGACTCTCTCATTCTTCAAGCCAATGAAGAACTCAGGTCAAGCTCCGGATCCAACTCAGAATGTGAAGACCAACCAAGTTGGCCCAACTTGAACAAGAATGGTACTCGAGCAAACCGTTCTCCGCCGGCAAAGTGGCCTGCTGCATTCCAGGAATACCAGAGTCACTTTATGAGGAATACACAATCAGAAAACATGCCCATCTTCAGGAATCATAAGTCAGAAGCTGTAGCGGGTATCAGGCATAATCAAACTCTTGATGTCTTGCATGGTTATCCAATCAATCCACATGTTCAGGGCCAAGAAAAATCAGCAAGAACTTCCAGTAGTTTCTGGTTGACCATGACACCAGAATTTGGAAAACATGAAACAGCATGCCGTGAGAAAGAAATTGCCTCCTCTTTGACTTCAATAACTCCAGAACCCAATGTCGCAAAAGGAGTAGACTTCCTGAGCAGAAGCGTGAAACAGATAACAGGAAGTTCAAGTACTTTGACAGCTCAGCGAACCACAGTGCCCATTGTTCATGCACCAAGAATGGAAGAATATGCATTTGCAAGTAAGCACAGAGAAGAGGAAGGAAATTTACAAATGCAGCCTCACAATGGAAATTATCAACATTCTGTAAGTTGCCATCCAAAGGAGATGTCAATGGCCTCACAACTAGAAAGCACTTGCATCCGACAGTCGGTAAACTGTGCAGAAGTCATTGCTAAAGGACAAGAAGGTAATCCTTATATCCCAAAATGCAAATAAGATTGTTAATGTACGTACAATCTGTAGTTCTTACCTCGTAGTACATGCAAGAAACTCTTGCAATATAACCAAATCACATGCAGAGGTTCAAGCTTATATTTCAAGCGAGCAACCCAGTGTAACAGGCACCAGCATCTCAAATACAAGAAAAAGGAAAACTGAGGAAGGAGATAAGAAAGCTTTTGACTGGGATAGCTTGAGAAAGCAAGTCCAACCAAAGAGTGGGAAAAAAGAAAGAAGCAAAGATGCAATGGACTCACTGAACTATGAAGCAGTTAGATGTGCACCAGTTAAAGAAATCTCTGATGCTATTAAGGAACGAGGGATGAACAACATGCTGGCAGAGCGAATTAAGGTAACAGAGCACTAAACATGTTTTGATGAGTCACAAGGAGAAAAGAGACCTTGTCGGATAAGTAAAGATTCATAAACGATAATTGCTTATTGTGCAGGACTTCCTCAATAGACTGGTAACGGATCATGGAAGTATTGACCTAGAATGGTTGAGAGATGTGGCCCCAGAAAAAGCAAAGTAAGTTCCTTGGACTACTACACTAAAATTTTCCATCTTCATGAGTTTACCAGCCCCTAAATTATTTGTTCCTTACTGCAGAGAGTATCTATTAAGTATTCGTGGACTGGGCCTGAAAAGTGTAGAATGTGTGCGGCTATTAACACTTCACAACCTTGCTTTTCCAGTAAGATCCACTTGCCAATTTGCAATGATTTACAAACTTGATCTAGAACTCAAAGTTGAATTTGTCAGGTTGACACAAATGTTGGACGAATTGCTGTGCGACTAGGATGGGTTCCTCTCCAACCACTTCCTGAGTCACTGCAGTTGCATCTTCTTGAACTGTAAGTTATTAAAGCAAACCTCAAAACTGTACTTTATCTACTATACAGGTTATCATTCATGCTTCCGCACAGGTATCCGGTTCTGGAGTCAATTCAGAAGTATCTCTGGCCACGATTGTGCAAGCTCGACCAGAGAACATTGTACTTTCTCAAGACCTCATAATAACTTTTCTTTGGTTAAACATGCAATTATTAAGGACGCTCTAACATACCCATGGATGTATTGGCAGGTATGAATTGCACTACCATATGATTACATTTGGAAAGGTAAGTTTAACTGCACTATTTCAAGTTTAATATGCTGAGTATGACTTATTTTGGGGAGGTTGTCTCTCATCAGACAGAATTATTATGGCTTAATTTCAAAATTGGCACAGGTTTTTTGCACCAAAAGTAAACCAAATTGTAATGCATGCCCGCTGCGAGCCGAGTGCAGACACTTCGCTAGTGCTTTCGCGAGGTTAGTCATCCATGTGTTCAATCTTTTCTTTTTCTAATATAAAGAGGCTTAACATAAGGTTACCTTAAAGTTTTCTTTGTTCTTTTTATCAACTTCAAATGAAAAGAGTTAGCATAATTGGGGGAAAAAGTATGGTGTCAAATTTAAAAACGCAAATCTTAAGAACAGAAACCATACTTGTCAAATTCAAATTAAAACAATAATGATGATACTAATGATAACAATGATGATAAATGATACTAACAACAAGGAAAGAGGAAAACTATGTGTGTGCACATACATAATCCTTGTTAAAGCACAATCTTAAATTGCTAATTTCACAAACCAAAACTAGCCACCTGTTAAAGTAATACAGCGGAAGAACTCTTTAAGAACTTTCATTAGCTATCATGAATAGTTGCTTGCAAAACGAGAAAGACGAGTGAATCAATCTGAACCTGAATGCTTCAGATGCACCTTTCCTCAGCTAAAATCCGTTCATCTCATCCATCAAAACACTTACATGAGTCAACCACTCAGGCAATCCTTATTATTAAGCTAAAGTCACAAAATCATTTCAGTAATTGACAAGTGGAGCTCTAAAAAGTGTTCCTGAGATGGTTGTTTACTTCTGTAACTCTTGCATTAGAGATGCAAAATCTGGTATCACTTTACTTCTATTATTACTTTGTCAATTTCGAGAAAAACTGACGAACATGTTGAAAAATTACCTGCAGTGCAAGACTTGCCCTTCCCGGCCCACAAGAGAAGAGTATAGTGAGTTCGACAGTTCCAATCTCTGGTGGAGGAATTGCAGCTGCCCCACTCAAGCCTATGCTATTACCCCCAGCAGGTGAAGGAAGAATGATTAGCCCATGTGCTCCAGTTGAAGCTGGAAACATCCCTGATTTCCTGAACAAACCAATGCCAATACCTCAAGAGATAACCATCTTGGATAGAGAAACAACTCTCATTACCAGCAATTGTGAACCTATTATTGAGGAACCAAAATCACCAGAACCGCTGCCAGAACTTTTGGAAAGTGACATTGAGGATGGATTTATTGAGGATCCTGATGAAATTCCAATGATCGAACTCAACATGAAAGAGTTTACGTCCAATTTGGAGACTATTTTGCAAGGGCATAACAAAGAAGGTGAGTTATCCAAAGCTCTGGTGGCTTTGAATCCAGTTGCAGCTTCAATTCCTACTCCCAAGCTGAAAAATGTCAGTCGCCTACGGACAGAACACCAAGTGTAAGTTCCTGAGTATTTTGTTTGATGTTTACCTGTGTAAGGATGTAAACAATATAAGTAAAATTTAGAAATCTGGAAAAATGGGACTTGGCAGGGCAGAATATAATATTATTGTAGTAGGACTTAATGTGAACATGAAATTGTATGGAATTAAGAACACAACCAGCAAAGAATGTGCAATGCAGATATTTATACAAATTTGCAGTGTGCTGAAAATGAGAAGATGTATAAAGCCGCAGTACCAATTTGTATTGCTAGCCCACACCTCTCAACACCACCAATTATGACACCAAATGGTCTGCTAATAAACTCCTACAAAGTATATAGTCTTCGCGGTTTTACCTATGAAGCCATGCCAAAAAGCTCTAGCAGTTACGATCACAAAACTAATGGTCAATACTCTGATATATTGCAGGTACGAACTCCCAGATTCTCATCAATTGTTGGAAAAGGTCAGTTGTCTATCTTCTGTTGCTTCATTAATAAAATTTGGTTAGAACTAAGCTTTATTCTAGATAATCTTCAAACACAGCTGGATAAACGAGAACCTGATGACCCAAGTCCATACCTTCTGGCAATATGGACACCAGGTATGCAACCGAATTTTCTTTGAATAGTATCTTCTTCTCCAGGATATCGACTAATGCACACAGAACACAGTTAGTGAATGGAGAAAACTTGAGTTCGTGTTTCTCAACATAGTGCCAAATTGCTATTCTGAAGCCAAACCATGCATTAGCAATATTTCACTTTTTGAAACCAAAAGATGGCCCATATAGTACGGGGTGACAGACTGACCAGCTTTTCAGTTTTTTTCTCTTTTTTCTCCGTTCTGTCACTGGTTGCACCTACCAATATAATGGTGAATTAGAACTCTAGTCTGCAGTACATTATGTTGTTGTGACTCCTGCATAATGTGGCACCAGGTGAGACTGTAAATTCAATTCAACCTCCTGAAATAAAGTGTGATCCCAATGGCTCGGGGAGCCTGTGCAATGAAAAGGATTGCTATTCATGCAATGGCATTAGAGAAGCAAATTCACAAACCGTAAGAGGCACGCTACTGGTAAGTGGCCCAGGCATTTGTTGTGTTTAAAAGTAACTACCTGTAGAAGAACTATAAGCTAGCACTGCATTTTTGTCTCTGAAACACCAAGCTTATTGCAGATACCATGCCGAACAGCAATGAGAGGGAGCTTCCCACTCAATGGCACATACTTCCAGGTCAATGAGGTAAACTCTGGACCTTGTCATCTGATCATTATTTTCAGGAGACTGTTTGGGCAACAATACTTCACAAATACAAGAGCAACTGTTCATAATGCAACTTGAAAATGGAATATTATTGATTGCAAACATTTAATGCCTGATCGTTGAATTAGATGTGATCTTACACTGCAGGTTTTTGCGGATCATGAATCCAGTCTTAATCCAATTAATGTTCCGAGAAAATTGCTATGGTCCCTGCCAAGAAGGACCGTGTACTTTGGGACCTCTGTCTCAACTATTTTTAAAGGTACCTACTAATGCTCAGGAAACCATTGTGGTTTGATCCATGGCTTAAGAATTGAGCCTTAACTTACTGACTACATAAACATTGATGTTTATCAGGCTTGTCAACAGAACAAATTCAGCACTGCTTCTGGAGAGGTAAGGCCAACTTCTCTTGCTTCTCTTATTTGGCGTATACAAAAAGGATCTAAGTATGTTAATGCTAAAGATGTGGAATAGTGAGATAGGAACGTGCTTCAATGCTGATGGTTCTGCAATAGAACGAGGCTCATTTAACTTAACTGTTATTACTGAATGGTACCAAACCCATGGAAGGGCAAGAAGAAAGATCTTGGACTCGTCAACAAAAATACAAGAGTTTATGAATGTGACTAAGGATATTAGTAACGCAGTACACAAGTTATACTTTTCAAAGTGATGATTCTACCTAGAAGAGATAGACAATTTGCGATGGTACAAATTCACATGGAAAGAATTGTAATCTAGGGAGAAAGTGTGCACTGCTAGGACTTAAACTAGGTGGCGATTTTGGATGAAAATCATCAAACTTAAGTGCTCAGTAAGTTGCCTGATACTTCTAAAAAGATCAAATAGAATTGGATCGGCAAATAAGAGCTAGATAACTTGTGATTTATTCATTAAAGAAAAGAGAGAAAAGAAAGAACAGCTAAATTAATGTGAACATACAAGCCTCTTAAGATGAATAACACTTGTGGAGAGAAACAATTAGTTATAATAAGGTAGCAGGTGTAAAACTTATTGGAATAAGAGGCAATTGTATCAGGTCATACAACTGTTTAAGAAATTACTCAAAATACCAGCACCTTTCCTTATCTCACTACAGGAATGAAGACTGTATTATACCATGTTCAACTTTATCTTTAACCTAGTAAAAGAAATGATTGAGTTACCTAATGTCTACAGTCAGATTATGTACAAACTGTTATTGTGGATGTCATTTTCAATAAGCATTTTGCAGGATTTGTCTGTGTGAGGGGATTTGATCACAAGACAAGAGCCCCACGACCTCTCATTGCTAGATTGCACTTCCCCGCAAGTAAGTTGGTCAAAAATAGAAGTGATGACAGAAAAAAGGAGGGAGCTGCTGCAGAGAAGGTTGCTGGTTACAACTCACCAAAATCTGCCCATATGAAGTAGAGAAACACTGCCGAGTAGGATAAGAATTTGATGACTAACACATTGTTGACGTTCAGTAACCTCACCTTAACAGGAGATACAAGTTTACATGTTACAGCAGCACAATATTTGAAGTCACCCCTTGGCAAAGAGGGTGTAGTGTACAATTAACATCTCCTATTCTTTCATTTATGCTCACAAACTGAGCCATTTTTCAAGAATTAGCAATACAAAGCAATAATAGATGTAGGAAAATTGAGATGTAACGTTCATTGTTTGATTGTGCAAACAGTTAATGCCAATGCAATGGAAATTTTTTTTTTAATTCATGCCCCGAATGAACTACTGATTTAAATGTTGTTAACAGACTCATTTATGAGATGTGGAAGAAGTGGTTAACTGAAGATGCATAACCGTGGGGCTTCACCTCATAACTTAATATAGATGGACTGCAGTCTAAGCAAAGGATACAAAACCAAAAATTTTAAGGTAGGATAAAGGATCACCTATCAGCAAAAGGCTCTGCATATTATGCTTAATAGAACTCATAATTTATCGCCAACTCTTCTCAAATTTCAGATGTACTACTCTCTCTTCCCCAGAGAAAAGTAGAAAACAGCTCAGCAGTAAATGATACACACAAATCAAAATCAAACATCACCTAGCAAAATTTTTCTGTGAAGCCATTACTTTTGGGAGTAAGTTAGCAACAAAGCATCTCTCTCTGCAAGCGTTTGAACTTGCTAAATTCTGGAAGTTATACACCATACACTTACCCCGAGTTTGAAAGTAAAACAAAATAATTTATCTAAATCTGAAGACTCTCATCCATAATCATCTGAGTATTTCCCTTTTCGGCACTTAGAGGGCATAAGGTTCTTAAACTACAAATTATTTATTTTTAATTATCAGTATGCTAAAAAGGATGGACAATCCCATACAAAAGTTCCAAGGCTCTGAATTTTCTCAACTTCCACATTGGTCAAAAGGCCCATACTCTCTAAACTACGACCAAATTTCACCCTGTCTGGAATGTTTATAGACTATACTACAAAATTTGTGATTAACCTTTCTCCATTTTTCTCTTTCCAAAATTTTACATACCCAATGCTTAAATTAAAATTTGACATCTATAGAGGGATATAAAAGGTAGTATTACAAAATTATCAAGGATGGAGTTTTCAGGCAACTAAGTTCTTTTCAAAATATAGAGCTATTACTACTCTAAACTTTTGTAACCTATAGCTACTGGCATAAACTAAAATGTGTATGATCATAGAATATATCTCTCTGTTTTTGTACCCCTAGTACTCAGGGGCGGATTCAGACAGTGAGTTACGAGCATGGGCGGAGCTAAGGGGCAGAAGGGGTTCCTCTGAACCCCCTTCGCCGAAAAGGTTAAAAATAATTTTATGCATATATATTAGTTGTTGAATCCTCTTTATCTGTCCGCGTGCTTATGTTTTTATTTTTCTGAATTTCCTTGGTCAATCCTGCATCTGCCACTGGTTACGACCCACGTATAAGTATTAGTATTAGATTTATGAGATAAGTACAAAATATTGATTTCAAACCCAATAAAGCAAATGAGTTGTAGTAGAATCCCAAACTCGAACTCATAAAGTTCAAATTCTAGATCCGACTATGCAATTGTGCTCACTCAATGTCCAAAAAATCATACTAATCAATAAGCTTCCATACTTGCAAACCAGCTAATAGCCTTAACATATTTCTTTAATCATTACATTACAAAAGAGTCATAAAACAGAATAATAACAACGACAACAATGACAAAGTTCGAATTCATAATCACTCCATAAGAAGACCAAAGCAACAAGCATCACGTGAATTAAAGATTTAATTTCAGATGATTCTACGGTTTTATGTTGATAAGAAATAATCAAATATAAGATTTAACATTGCCAGATACATACGGATTCAGTATTCACGAATTTAAACGGCGTTAATGAAATCGGTGGTGAATAATAGAGTACCTGAATGGCTTCGATCGGAAAATGTGGCGGCGACGCCGATTGGCAAGGTTACGATGCTACCACTGAGAGCGGTAGGTGAAGCGACGGTTGGATTTGAAGAGTTTTTGTTTTTTTTCCTCCCCTAGGTTTGAAGAGTTCCTTTGTTTGCCGCCCTTTATTTGATTACCTTCCCGCCTCCGAAATCCTTTTTTGCGTCTTTTTATTTTTGGTTTTTTGTTTTGTTCTTTTTCCCCTCTGGATCAAAAAATAGCGGCGTTTGGCTAATTCTCTAGAAAAACTGAAAAAACAACATTTTTAAGGGTTGTTTGGTTTATTTATTGTTACTAGTCTTAGGGTACGCGTTTTGCGCGTGTATCCTATATCAATAAAATATACTATTTCAAAAAATTACAAAAAAAGTTTAATAAATAATGTGTTTGACCTTTAAAATAAAAATTAAAAAAAATGTATAAGTTCTTGAAAATGGTGACTACTAAATATTTTATTTAGCCGATTCAATGAAGAAAGAATTCTTTTTATAAAATTTCCTAGATGGCTTATTGTAGTTTCTGAAGACTTAAATAGAAATATCTTATAAAAGGATATTGTTATTTCTATGATCTAATACAAAAATAAACAAAAAAAAATTTAAATACTATTATCAACAAAGATTTGTCAGTTATAATAAATTTTAAAAAAAAATCTCTGCCATTTTGGGAATGAAGAGATTGGTGTTATGTTCATCGAAAAAATTGATAAGGGGAAACGTAAAGTATAAATGACTTATATTTCTTACAGCAAAAAATTTAATATAGAACATAAGGGGAGTTGTCATTTGTAAAATAATAATAATAATAATAATAATAATAATAATAATAATAATAAATGACAATTCCTTCAAAGATAGTTTATATTCTATTGTTTCCTCTTATTGCTTCAAGTTTTTTATTTTTACCAATTTGACTCTTAATACAATTATAACCAGATTTGCCATATGCTAATGTTATTCATATCAAAATAAATTTATGTATCCTACAAGATTTTTCTATTTGAAAATAATTTATTTATATGATGAATATAGAAAATAATTGAATTGATTCTTGTTAATTTGTTAATTCAGAGTCTTAATTATTTGTTTGGATGAGCAAAGGAAATAATTACTTTTTGTTGATTCAAATTCTTTATATTAACTCAACTAATTTCAAAAAATTAATTATAATTATATTATCAAAGAGTAAACAAGATAATTTGATATCTCACTTTTTGAATTTTTGTGTTTGTAAAATCATTAATGTACTTGACTCTTGTCAACCGCCTAAATATTTTATTAGTGATTTGTTAAATATTGATCGATATTTTTGCTATGTAATTATTATTATTATTATTATTATTTATTATTATTATTGCTATTCTTTTTAATTACTAAAAGAGATTAGAAAGAAAGAATGATAATTCATGCGACTTGTCTTGGATAGTCTAATTAGGATAAAAAAAAGTTAACAATATAACTTCCTTAGGTGAATTAAGTTCCTACATATTACAGACTTTGCATTATTGCAAATAAGGAACATTTTAGTTGATTTGAAATTTTCAAATATTAGAAAAATAATTAATTTAAAATTATAATTTTATCCAATGTGAAACCTATTCTAAAGGGAATCGAATCTTCGCGCTTTTAATGTAGAATTATGTTCTATTTTTCTTCTAACCATGTAAATCGAAGTGCATTTCATAGTTCATATTAGACAAAATTGTAATTAAACTCGATATATTTCTCTTTTATTTAAATTAAAAATAGCTAAATACTTTAAAAACAAAATTTTGTTCCTTATTGAAAAGATAATTTTCTTTTTTAACTACATCTAGGATACTTTTTTCTAAAAAGTTAGTTCAAAGGAAATATATTAACAATAAAAAAATTTAGAGACCCTTTGCTACCCCTTGGTTGTGAAATGAACATAATTCAAAGGCAAAAGTAGACAGAATTTCCTTCATACGTATTTTGAAGGAATTATAGTTTAATTCAAATTGTTATTTTTTTCTCTAAATTTTGGAATACGTCTTTTATGGTAAAAGGATATAGAAAAGCCAAAATGGTTTATTTATAGTAAGTTTTAATAGTTCAAATATTATGAGTTTTTATATGATTCAGATAAGGAAATATTTTATAAGCAAAATTTTATTTAATTTAAAAATCCTATATATTAGGAGAATAATTAAATTACAACTTTGTCTTATGTGAAAGTTATTTTTAAAGGGTAAAAAAGGCGAACGATATTTCGCTAAGGGCTTTCGTGCTTTTAATATAGTATAGATAGATATAGATATAAATATAAATATAAATAGATTCTTGATTATTATGCAGAACTTGTATACGTTGTGATTAATACTGCAGAGATTTTATGCAATGACTAATAATGAATATGGATTGTTGAATATTTTTTAAATTGTTTAATCTCGCAATTCAAATACACGTAATCTTATTTTGCATAAAAGAATACATATACTCTCATATAACTTAATTCATATATTATAATATTGCGAACACCTTGCTTTAGTTATGCTATGGTTATTTTTTCTTAACGATCAACTAAACGCTATATTATCTTAGGGATTTTTACCTAACTATACTATATTAGAAATTTATTTATATATGTTCTCTATGTTTTGTAGTTTTTAATAAATATCTAGGTTTTTCTTAAAATTATGTCGATTGCTCCTTAAAAGGCTCCTGCCCCATTATTAGTGCCTTCAATTAAGGGATTCAATTCCTTTTTTTCTCCTTTTCTCTTCTCTCTCCTTTTTTTTTTACATCAAAATCCCTTAAACTATGCCCGAATCTCCATCTTCTCTCTTTCCACCATTGCCTATAGCTTCATATTATTAAAAATATCATCAATTGCATCGATTGTTTGTTGGAAGACTCGACACCACTGAAAATAAAGAAATATTGAGGAATTGTATGATAATTGTATTTGGATTGTATTAGATACATCAATACTATAAACATAATTGTATCATGCGTGTATAAAAATGTATCTATAAGGTACATTAACCCAATAATACCTGATACAATACTAATAAATTAATATATAATTATCATATATTTGTGACACAAACTGTGAAATTCGTCACGAACTCACAACTGCTCGATCGTAACAATATACAATGAATATACAACTATCATACATTTGTAATACAATTCCTTCAATGATTATGATACATATACAATTATAATACAATCGCGATACTTTCCTAAAAAATTGTGATACAATTATGATCTCCATCTTCTTCAAGTTTCAATCACAACTCTATACTAAAAATTCAATATAATCGTAGTATAATTGTAGTAGCAT